CTATTTCAAAGAATCTGAATTTGTTAAGGTCGGTAAACCTTAGGCAGGCTATAAAAAGCGATGAGTTTAATATCATTTTGATTTTTCTCTTGATTCTTCTGCTGATGTAGCTGACGTCATTAATTTTCTTGTAATTCTCATGAGCTTTTATTTCCAATGCCTTGTATTCGATTTGATGGTTTCCTTTCATTAATTCGTTTTTGGTGAATGATCTAAAAAAGGTTCTGTCTCTCAGTAGAATTTTGGTAAAGATTGCAAAGTGAGGTTCTTGTGTAATTGATTCCTTTGGAATGGTTCTGATATTCTTGAACAGCTCTGCTACTTTTTTTGCATCTGTGTGGCAGGCTGACAATTGTGATGCTAAATCAATTATTGTGTTGTGTTCACTGACAAATGGCTCACCTGGTTTGGCTGTTTGGATCTTGTAAAGTTCATCTACTGGTTTGTGGAAGTTTGGGTCACTTTCCAGAAGGATTTCAGTTATTCTATTCTTTTTGGCACTTGGAGATGATGTTTGTTGTATACTTGTTAATGAGTTTTCGGTTGGAGAGAGGCTGGGGGAACTAGCAAAGTCTCTGATTAAAGGTTCCTTGTGTGACCACTCTGTCTCATTTAGGAGGTCGTCTCTACTTGCTTGGTCAGGGATCTGAGTTTGCTGGGCTACTTCGCTAAGGGGTATGTTTTCTTGAATGTTTGCTAGCTCTTCCTGTACCTGACGGTCGAATTCTGCTAAGGAGCTTGAATTTCCTATAGAGTTTGGTTGATCCAATGATATCATTGATATGTCGTTGTCAGAACAGGGGCTGGTAGGTCTGATTGTACTTCCTGATTTGTCGTGATTGTCGCTGGTTGTGACTGCATGGTGATGATCATCCACTTGCATCATGTCACTTGAGCTATGAAGATCGTTGTTATTTGGTGGTACGGCACCTGTTGCACTTAATATGCATGCACTTTCAAGTGCTACAGGGGGTGCATTTGCATTGCTGCCAATTATGGCTATATTTGGAGTACTCATGTTAAGCTGATCATTTGATGGAGGTAAGCTGTTTGGGATTTTTTGGGGGATTTGGGATGTAGTTTTTTTTATGTCCAAGGTTGTTTGAAAAGTCTGTTTTTTTTCTTCGAGTTCTTCATCCTGAACCGGTGTATTAGGTGGGGTATGGGTTGGTGCATTTTGAATTTTATCAAGACTGAATTTACTTCCATTGTTCTTTATATTGATTTGATTCCAGGACAAGTGAAAGGTATAGTTTAGGTTGCTTTCTAACACCTTCCTGGCGATGGTCTCCCTTATGTTTTGGGCAAGATTATTCCTCTTTTGATATTAGAAAAAGTCATTAAGGTTGTTCTGGGTGTTACTTTTCATGTTGTTGATAGTTAGTGTTGCCATTGTATGTGTGTGTGGAGGGTTGAGGCCGGCTGTCACTTGTTTGAAAGCAATGAAGGCAATGTCCACTGATAAAGGGTCGCTGGTAATATTTGGGTTGCTGTTAACAGTTGGATTTTGTAAGGGAATGATCCAGAATTTGGGGAAGTCGGCTAAGGTTGGAATAGATACATTTTTTGCTGGTTCGGTGATTTGAATGATATTTGAGTTGCTTTCCTTGTATACTATAGAAAAGAGACGTTCGTTTGGGTTTGCTATCACTATATCCAAAAGGATATGAGAAGAGTTTGGAGGTTTGCCCTTAGGAGAGGAGCTCCCAGGAGCGCCTGTTGTTTTGCTTCTCCTTAGAATTTTGTTAGTTACTAAAAAAGGAAATTTTTAAGCGATACAAAATTTTTGGGAAAGAGTTTTTTTTTTTTTTTTACTCTTTCCACTTTTTTTCCTATGCTTGAAATTTTTCTTTTTAAAAAATTTTTAAACTGTTTTCTTTTTTCCCTTCTTCTAATACTATTTTCTTTTTCTATTATCTTTTTTTTCTCACTTATTTTTTTTCTTTTTTTTTTTTTCTATAAACCCTTTTTAGTATATATATATATTTTCTTTTTTTTTCTCTTTATTTGCCAAAATTAGGTTTTTTCTCTTTTTGAAGTTTTTTTTCTCTAGACATCTTTCTCTTTTAAAACTGTTACTCTTTATCTCATTACTTCTCTGATCAATTAATTTTTTTCTCTCAAGAATTATATTAAGAAGTAATAACTTTTTTTATGTTGTAAACTTTGGAAATTTTTTGTTTCTATGATTTTTTAGAAAAGGATAAATAATTTATTTCCTCCAAAAGATTAATATAATAATCATTATTATATTTAGTATTGTTTGCTTGTTGATGATTAAACTAGATATATTTAAGAAGTCACTATATAACTATTGTTATTTGTACTTCTAGGGAGTTGCATCTTACTGTATTCAATCATATAGTAGTCAATGCCAGTATAGAATTTTATAAGTGACATATTGATATCTAGAATATCTAGTAAAATAATATGTGATTATCAGAAATTTTAATTATTCCTGTAAATAGAGTTGATGTTGATAATAAAAGTTTCTTGCTTACTTCTTGACAATGTAGGTCCATATGTATGGTTAGATAACAATATTTTTAAAAAATTATAACCCAACTCTATTTATTGAATACTTTTGCCATGCTTAAAAAATGAATATACCAAACTCTTTATATAACTTGAAGCCAAATTTGTAAAAAGTGACTGCAGCACTTTTATGTGTAAAAAATCAATTCTTTCCTCTTTTACTTTGTTTGCCATACATTAAACTAACCTTGGAAAGCAAGCATATTAAATTCTACTAATAACTTGAAAACAAATCTGTATATCTAGTTGCAGTATCTTCATATGATTGGATATTATAAATACTCTAGTTTTCTACTAGGCACTACTTGAGATGTGTAAATTTTGAAAATATTTTTACTACTGCTGTGATGATTATTGGAAAAAAAATAACTAGGATAGGTGAACCATTTTTTAAGTCCTATATTAGACTTTTCTTAGTAAAGAAAAATGTATGTTAGCTTTCACATATTTGTAATATTGCCAATAATAAGTAATTCCTTATAAATAAAAGTCTGGTTAATAACTGTTCCAGTTATAATAAAGACTTTATAGTTGATAAAAAATTGAAAAAAAATTTATATAAATTTATAAATAAATATGATGTGATAAATGATTTATTAATTTTAATTTATACACATTACAATAATGTATAGACAAAATTTTATTTTATAAATTGCCAAATCATTTTATTTATTTTTCAAAATAATTGGTAAAGTGACATTATATCAAATAAATCAATTTTCAATTAATGAAATTATTGATTAGATAAAATATTACAAAAAAATTTTTGTAAATAAGGAATACATAAATTTTATGGAATTCAATAGAAACATGTTTCTTTTATACAAGATATTTGATCTATGTTTTATATTCGATATCCTGTATTTGATATATCAATATGCTTTTTTCTATATTTTTTATTTTTGAAGACAAAATGGATTTCTGTATATTTAATGCATGTCTATTTAAAATATTCAACATATTGAAATCAAAGAAATAATCAATATTTTACTTTGGACAACTCTGTTCTTTTTGTTTGTTATTTTTATATTTTTTAAAAAATTCAGATGAGATGATGCAGCATGTACAATAGATATAAAAATCAATTGATTAAAAAAATTGATTTGATTTTTATTTTTTTTACTTAATTCTTGTAAGTTACGTGTGCTGTTAAATTTATCCAGTTTTTTGTACGTTCGAAAAAAAATTTTTTTTTTTACAATAAGTAAACAAAACGTTTCATAACATAAACAGTACAAACAATAAGCCAAGCATAAGTTTTTTTTAATGATTGAAAAATTTTTTTTTTTTTAAAAAAATAAAATTCGGAATGTCCACAACTTTATCTAAAAAAAGATCAATATCGTTTATCGAATAAAATGAGCGCCGTTGAAATATCCGTGATGTAGAGTATCTTAGGGTATCGAGGTAAACATATTGTTGAGGAAACAAAGGAGCGGCAAGATGATGGGAACAGTCGAACCACTTCGGCAAAACACTCAGAATTAACCATGATTTTCCGGACCAAAGATTTTAAAGAGGAAAAGGTCATATGCAAACCGAAACATTTTCAAACCAGTTCACATTAAGTACACAACATTATCCGCGCCCTTTTTATTACATGAATAATAAGAATGAGATATTTTGAAGTAACTTATTAATTCTTTTTAATGCAATAGTGTTCGCGACACGATATGCAAAAAAAACGATCACAATAATCACATTGCGAGACGTCCATAGGACACCTCTTACAAGTAAAATAACTACACGTACTGCAAATACCTGTGGGACATGTATCACATATCAAAGATTCTCCGAAGCATAGATTACATATTAATCTACTTTCATCGGTGATTGGAGAACTGGCAGAGGGCGACGAATTTAGGTATTTGAGCAAGGAATCAGTTGCTAGGTGAGTAAGGGTCACCGATGATGAGGAATTTGGTGATATTGGAGATTTTTTGACATGATCCTTGGTACAACAGTAAAATCGGAAGCAATCTAAGCATCCCGAATTTAGATCGCAACTCATACAAAAAGTTTTTGGAAGTTGGCATGACGCGCAATCTACCGTAAATCCGATATTTTCCTGGCACTTTTTACAAATCCCTAAAATTGAGAGGTGAGGTCTATTATTAATGACAAGTCTTTTAAAAAAGCGGTGTGTGTATCACGACTCAAATAATTTACAAAGCACAAATTACCTATGTCAAGTTCAATCTTCTCCTTAGTGTTCGAGCCAACAAAAGAATTTACAAACGCCTTATATACATTCTTATAGAAAGAAACACCACCATAAACATATAACGCATTCGCTTTTTTTTGGATTACTCTTGGATCCATGTCTTTACACCAGAGTACGTTCAATCTTTTTAATTTTTCTAATTTTGATTTATCCACAAACCAGGAAATGTCATCGCCCAGTCCTCTCAGAGAAATCATTCGACATCCGCGTAAACTAATTTCTTCGATATTTGGCAATGTGTCGATCAGTTTCAAAACTGTCGAAGAAGTCACCGATGTGAAATCCAAATTTACAGTGATCACGTTCACCTCCAAACGATTTTTTCGCAACATTTTAAATAACCTTTGCATGGATTCGTCGGTAATACGAAGGAGTTTTTGAGGGATCCTTGGTTTGGTCTGCGCCGAACAAAGAAAATCCCGTTGTATTTGTCCACGTTCTTCTGGATTTGTGAATTCAATATGACACCAAAATGGAGGATGTTTTATAACAAACACAAGATCTTTACATGTAGTTGACAGAGCGTATAGCGAGTATATGTCAACGTAACTACATATCTCCACTAGAATTTCAAAAGGGAAATCGACTAAGTTTGGCATTTCTTTCTTTTTTTTTCGTACACGGAAGAATGTTGGGAGTTACAGTAACTTCGAAGACTATAAGGAAAGTGTGAAGGTGCGTATATGTTTATAGCCCAAACAATGAATTCATTCAATTAGAGATGGCGTTATGAAAAATTCGACGATTATATATGACAATTGGGGGCTTGTAAAACCTGAAATCGGGCGTGACAATCACAAATTAAACACAGTGCTTTGACCGCAAAATTTACCTTTTTATTGGCTGGCGCGAGCGATGCGGATTAAATAAGCAAATTAATATGACACAAGAAAAAATTTTTTCTTTAAAATACGAGTATAGAAATTTCACATCAACTTTTTCAAAGAATCCAAATAGAAGCTTGAGAGAAACCTGCTTTCAAATGAAATGAATCAGTTGCTTGGGTAGGTTAAATAAGCAGTTTTTGTTCAAAAGAAATTTTTTTTTAAATCATTAAATACAGTAAATACGGTAGAAACCAAGTCTTGAAGAGACGTGTTACGACAAATTTTTATGTTATGATCATTATCAATCTCACTTTTTTTCATTTAAATATTTATTTTAACATGGAAGTTTATTGTGTGTATGTTAAAATAGTTAAAAATAACCCCCGAATAATATACGTAATATACGGGTAGATAATAATAATACCCTTTGACTAATTTTGGATAAATTGTATTATAAATCAAATATTATTACTGTATTACACTACACTTTTTTTCTGTATGGTTGTACATTATCTGCAATATACCTGACTCCGTTTTTAATAAAAAAAAATGTAACAGATGCTTGAGCCCGTCACAAGACTAAAGATCGCGTGATTGAATTTGGTGAAGATTTTTGATTCGGAAATTACTGTATTTATATTTATATAAAAAATTTTTTGTTATCTCATGTCTCAAACATAAGTGATTTTTTTATTCAATCCCACCATCTCACATGACTCCAGTTATTTCAAACCTGACGTAAATAATATCCGCCAAATAAAATTCTCAAATCATAATCATAAATAAATAAAATCATTCGTAAAAAAGAATATAAAATTACAATATAGTTAATATATATACATCCTTCAATAAAAAAAATGGAATAAATAAAGTAGATTTTCATCTACACGTTATTGATGAAAATCGAAACTTGCAATTGTCATCAACGCCGTCCGTCACGCGGAATCAAGAGTTCAAGTCGTCAATCCCACCCGCAAAAGATTTAAGTACAATTAATAATTACAAAGACGGATAATAAACAGAACCAAGTTGTACTTGGTTTGAGTGAGGTCTCACATCGAACCTTCTTTCAATCACGAGATACCAGTCGTATTGTTGTCGGCAGTTGAATGATGTGAGAATGTATCGTGAAAACTTCGAACACTGACGATGTGCGTGATTCCAAGTTTTTTTTTTTTCTTTTCTTTTTTCCTTCGTTTTGGTTTTTTTTCTTTTTTTTTCTTTTTTGTTAGTCGAAGATCCCGTGCTTTTGTATTGTGACCCATATCAACAATTTTATGTTTGCCGGTATTTTCTTACGCTTCCTATTCTATTCCCATCAGAATATCTACAGTATTAATATATATATATATATAAATGCATGTTATAATATAATATTATCTTGATATGTCCCGTCCTCTTTCCATTGTATTTTTTTCATTCCATCATCGACCTTTCCATCTATTTGTTGATGCTTCACGATTATCTTCGAAAATAATTCAATGATTGCTTCATTTCTTAATTGCTTGTTTTTCCAATTTTCCGTAGTTCCGACATGATTCTCTCTTCCTCTGTTAACCACCACTGATCAATCCTATTCGACTTATTGAGTGCCTCAAATTCACTGAGTAAATTGTTGTTCACTCCTCGCGTGTGGTTTCCTGAGTTTTGGTTGGAGGCGGTTGAGTCCTCTATTAAGGAGAGAAGAGAGGGAATGTTGGTCATGTTAGTAAATGGATGCGTGCACGGACTAATTTCATAAAATACAAGCCACGTGTCTTTTACCTTTCATCACTTTGGGGCTAACAGCCCTTTTTACTTTTCGTACAATTTTTCTGAAAACTCTTACAGCTCCCATTTTCTTCAAGGGCATGTATGTATTCTGCGATAAGGAAGTTAACACTCGAATGACAGTCAAACGGTTCTTTTAAAAAAGATTTCCAACAAAACTTCGCAGATGCACTTAACAGACGAAGATGATGTTTGGGGAGGGTGGAAAAACGGAAAATGGGCAATTATAAAGAGGAAAAAAAAAAAGATGAATGGGTGGATTTGATAGAATGTCAATTCGGGAGTTTTGAATGTTTACGGGAACACCGAAAAAAAACCGTTGATGCACATTACTCGCTTTAATATTCAC